TATTTCCCGCTCCAGCTCATGTGTGTTTTTTGTCAACCTATCGGTATTACAGCGAACAGGTGATTTCCGGGGTTGATCTCCTCTAGTTCATCCCCCTATGAATACGGCAGCCATACTGCCTCAGGTAACAGAGAAATTCATCAGGAACATAGCTCAGAGCTGGAAATAGTTCACTGGTTGATTGATGCAGACCTTTAGGTTTTTGGTTCGAACCCAACTTCAGCATCCCGACTGCTTGTGTCTAGGCTTTGGAAACCTGACAGTACTTTAGCCCTCGTGCTTCCATCGTAGGGTAGTGTGGCAGCTAGGCACCCAAAAGGATGTTACAGCCAGTCTTCACCCAGAACATACTTATGTATTCTTTCTCCTGCTGTTGTTCAACGGGCGCACTAAACGGCATCTCTCTTGCCGCGGATTCGAATTGGCTGCCGGATGTCTTAAAGTCTATTCTTCTTCGTTAGTTGTCTCAAGAAGATAACCTTGAAAATCATCAGTGGACTAGCCATACAGTACCATCAGGTAAGCTATGCTATCGTTGAAGAATGTGTAGTCTGGTATAGTTTGGGGCGAGATGGCCCAAGTTGTAAGAGCGAGAATTTACTGACCGGAAGGTCCATAGTTCGAGTCCCACCTCCGCCTCTCGACTTCCCCTGTCTAGGCTTGGGCAACCTGGCAGTATCCCAGCCCTCGTGCTTCCTTCGGGTGGCATGGGAGCTAGGCACCGGAAGAGTGCTACAGCTGAACCCTTTTTTCCTATACTTTGTTCGCAAAGGTTAATCGCATTTTGGCTCATTTTTTGGGTAGGGCTCCTAAAATGCAAATTTCGCCCAAAGCCTTTGGACTGCACAATGTTAGAGAGGCCCAGGCTGGGTGGGAAGACAGCCGTAGCTGAAACTCTTCAAAGTAACTTTGTTGTTGACAGGAAAGTTAAATTCTAGGTAAACAGCTTTGCTCCGAGCCTTTCCCGTCGTGTCCTTGAAGCTCTCAACTTGAGCCGAGCTACTGAGCTACGCTGTGTACGTGAGTTAATATCATAATACAACATCTTTTTGCCAGCATTCAACGAAGATTACGCACCACTTGTTTAGGTCTGTCATATCGATCCATGCTTTTCGACCGCTGGGGATGGTACGGGTAACAGAATGGGCGTAAAATCACCGATCATTCGCATCATTCATATCTGACGAACTGCAGTTTAGAATCTGGAGTGCAACGCCTTCTTTGCAATGAACGAATGTACTACCTTCATCTGGCAGAGTTGTCTAAGGAAACAGAGACTCACCGCTAGATTTCTGCCCAGGACGGTCGTCGTGCTACTTGCCTACCAGGATGGGAGTCGCGTAATCCCCTTGGTTGGGAACGTTGTAAGAAATGGCTGTTAATCGATGCCAGTGGCATTCGTGTTGTCTGTTTCAATCCAGATTGCCTGAATGGGTGTNGGTGTAGGCACCTCGGAATGATTGTAGTGAGTCCCTTTCACGTCCATCTTTATTCTTTTATTCACAATAGGGCTTCCAAATATCGTTGTGTTGTACGGCAGCGAGGCATCGGTGTTGAACATTGATGTCGTGCTGCCCATAGAGATGATGATGATGGTCGTCGCCATCAGATGAACACAAGTGTTGAGCACCCGGGGCTTCGTATCCGTGAAACATTGGTGGGCGTGGAAATCACGAAGCGCCCACACTCTGAATTAGTGTACGCTACGAAGACCGATGGTACATATATCCTTGGTTGGTGAAACAACATGGTGTATTTGGAGGTGAGAATTATTAACGGAACATCGTGGCGTTCGAATTAACCATGACCATCGATTCTTTGCCCAATCAGAGCGCGATAACCTATGACACTGGCCTACTGGTGAGGGACAAGAGCAGAGGTGTATGCAGTATCCAGAAAGTGGTCTTCACGTGAGTGAAGTGTCCAATTAGGTCTTGGTGATAAATCTCTGAAGAGACAACTCTACTAGACAACTTTGCATTGCTGTCTTAATCGACCGTAACACTCTTCTCACTGTTGACGTGGCGAGCTTCACTCTGTAACAACATAGACATTTGTATTCCACTCACTTTTACAGGCTAATCGATGTCAGCAGCGTTCTTGCTATTAGTTTCTTCCCATATTGTCTGATTGAGCGCTTGGAGTTCTAGATACCTCAAAATGCTTGCGATAGGCCAGCATAAGGTCCCTCCCTCATTCATTCTTCCCTTATTTTTCATTACGGTTGCAAAACATCGATACAAACGTTTATGTTGCCATCTTCGACTGTGGTCATGATGCCCGGTCGCACTAACAAGTCACCCATCGGTAATGAGTTTCATCCAGCTGCGCCCACGACTACGCGCCCCATTCTTCAAAAATCCCTGGGGAATTTCATTTACTTTGTTTGCCAATGCCCAGCGAACGTCTGCAACCCGTTGTATGCCATTGAGCTTTGCAGAGCTATCCGCGTTACTCTGTAACTTGTACTGAGCACCAGTCAGCAGACACTGGTGTAATGGCGTACACTACTGCTGACGTGCGAGTAGTATCCGGATAAGTAATTTAAAGTACATTCCCTGTATCTGATGGAAGGTATATTTGAACCTGCTCACGGGCGTCTCTTCATCCGATTGTCTACAGTGTGGTGATGGTACTAACAGGGAAAGATGTGACTTTATTTTGCTCAGGTTGCAGCGAGGTGACCGTGTCAACACCGGTGTTTTCTTACGATGCCTCTGAAATTCTCAGCACTGAAATTGGAACTGATCGGAACATCATTACTTCAGGACAGTTGGTGCCACTTATCTGGGACTCTTTACATCCAATTCTTTTTTTTTGATGAATTTGGTCCACAGGAAACAATTTACTCGGTTTTATGAAGCTCAGGAAAGACTAAGTGACGAATATTAAGTTCGTCTCAGACAGAACGCAGCGCACTGGGGAACGATTTTAGTAGTGCCCATGGATGTTTCCTCCGAATCATTTACCGTATTGTCGCCCAGATCTAGATAAAAACAGTGATTAATCCCATATGACCAGTGACTCGCTTCTTTCTTCCCTGAAGCCAGTGTTTTATCCGCTTACTCTCACCCTGCTTATTGGTGGAAGCGTGGCCAATCCAACGAATTCTATATTCGTCCATCCTTAGTACTCGACGCCTCAGTAATTCGTGTTGTGATGTTGATTATGTTTGAAATTGTGTTTCAAATCGTTCACTGTGTATCGCGCTGGTCGCCACTGATGACGAAGATGATCTTGCACACAAGAAACCTGAAAAATCTCCATTTGCCCACCAGTTTCTTTATCTATCTGTAGTTTAGGATGTAGTTACGTTTAAACAGATGCCCTGTTTCCGTGACAACGTCCATCAGCTACTCATGTCTTTTTTCTGCTACTGCCTCAACGCTGTTTTCTCCATTGTCTGACTCACCCGCGTGGGCGGTATCACTAGACAACTATGCGCTTGCCACTCACCGAAACGATTCGCCAGCCTTTGTTCTCTCACGCAGTCTACTTTCCATTCTTTACTTCTGCCTTTGTCTAGGACCTACCCGAAAACAAACCGTTATGGGGACCGACACTGAGGTTTCTCGACGTTTTTCTGCCGCACCTGGCTAACGCCACAAACGAAGGTCCCGATGGTTCCGTATACGTGTACGATGACTGTGTTTTGACCTCGTGGTGGGAAAATTTTGTCCCGCCAATCTTACGAATTCTCCAAGTAAGTCTGGCCTGCGCCTAGCTGTCGTTTGTTCGCGGACCGGAGGCTGCTCCGACCGCCTGAACGTTTTCTCAACTACTTTCGTTTCGTGTTGATCTTGTGGGAAGTCCAAAGCTTTTATTGCTTATCAACTACGTTGAATGGTCTTATGCAAGAGCTACGGGGCACTCCGGTGTACCTTCGTATTCCTCGAAGTTAACTACCAGTGAAAGGAAGAAGGCCTTCGCTGCGGAGTTATTTATTAGAAAATGCCAACTGACGAGTTACACACCGTTGGACAGGGAAGCAAAACTCTCACTTGCATCTTATTTACAAAAACTGGACATCCACCTTCTCCTGAACGCGTCTTCTTGAACTTTCCTGGATATTCATTGATTCCAATCATTCAATGATCAAATCCAAGCAAATGCTACAAAGCGACTCCACAAATTCCACAGCAGATCTCCTTTTTCAAGAGACGCAGAGCGAATTTACAAGAACAAAACGTACTACTCGCATACCTCCCCGTCAGTAGTATCGCCTTTACACTAGGTCCGTCCCCTATGGGATTCCTTCTTGTGAGGGACTACTCCGACAGAAGACATACTTTGCCCCACACACCGCGAGATGGCTGAAGTAGTTAGAAATTTACTCACCGTTTGTTCGCGGACGGGAGGCTGCTCCGACCGCCTGAACGTTTTCTCAACTACTTTCGTTTCGTGTTGATCTTGTGGGAAGTCCAAAGCTTTTATTGCTTATCAACTACGTTGAATGGTCTTATGCAAGAGCTACGGGGCACTCCGGTGTACCTTCGTATTCCTCGAAGTTAACTACCAGTGAAAGGAAGAAGGCCTTCGCTGCGGAGTTATTTATTAGAAAATGCCAACTGACGAGTTACACACCGTTGGACAGGGAAGCAAAACTCTCACTTGCATCTTATTTACAAAAACTGGACATCCACCTTCTCCTGAACGCGTCTTCTTGAACTTTCCTGGATATTCATTGATTCCAATCATTCAATGATCAAATCCAAGCAAATGCTACAAAGCGACTCCACAAATTCCACAGCAGATCTCCTTTTTCAAGAGACGCAGAGCGAATTTACAAGAACAAAACGTACTACTCGCATACCTCCCCGTCAGTAGTATCGCCTTTACACTAGGTCCGTCCCCTATGGGATTCCTTCTTGTGAGGGACTACTCCGACAGAAGACATACTTTGCCCCACACACCGCGAGATGGCTGAAGTAGTTAGAGCGCGAATTTACTCACTGGGAGGTCCGTGGTTCGAACCCGACCTCTGTCTCTCGACTTCCCCTGTCTACGCTTGGGGAATCTGGCAGTATCCCAGACCTCGTGCTTCCTTCTGGTGGCATGACAGTTAAGCACCGAAAGGGTGCTACAGCTTCAGGAACGAACACCCAAGCTGAAAAGAAGATGCCGAATTCCTCTTTCAATCGGCCACTGATTCCTAGGGCTGGACAGGTGTGATTTATCGATTTTCTGCTGACGTACATGTGGTTTGGCTTACAAACGCCGACTGTTTGAGGTCAGTTCAAATTAGACGAATCGCTAGTGCCCGCCTACAGGTTTTGTGATAGGAACTCACAAGTTGTCCATCAGTGATGAGTAGAGAATATTCCTTATGAATTTCAAGAGTCAATTACTTTATTCGCGAAAGCCACCTTCCAAAAGTGCACCGAATGACTGGCTGTCACATAGAACCGAGAATGTTTTCCCTGCTGTTCTCTCTGCCTTATCACTCATTCACAGTGGGAATCAGCTTAACACGCACCCGCCACTCTAATCGTAAAGATGTCAATGTTTTCCCACTGGCTAGCTTTCTCACTCTAGCTAGAATCGCGGACTTTCCCTGAAAACTGGGCCCCTGGCTGCTGTTTGGTTTTCGTCAGTACCCAGTGATTAGTTTATAACAACACTGTGGTCGTGAAATCTCACTTACAGAGTTCAGCGAAATATCGCTTAACCTGCACACTTAAGGTCCCGTTACCTCGAAATGATTCTACGGCGCTCCTTGGGTGTAAGCCATTGTACCGATAATGTCAGGTCCGGTTCAGTCGGCGCAAGCACTCGAGGGTTCAGACGTGTTCGAACTCACTGAGCCTATCCGAGGCAACGGTAACAGGCCCAAAGCCTCAGCAGCCAACGCCCGACCGACTCCTGTCTTGGCTGATCACAAACGAGCGCCAGAATGAAGGTCATCATTTTCATAAATGAAACTACTTATCGGGTTGCTGAAAACTCTTCCACAGTTCACGACCAGTTTCTCCCTTCTTCGGACTCCTTTATGTAAATATACTGCGATATCTCGAATGTCGTACCAACCGAATCATGAGACGACCTCTGTGCAGCACATTCAACTGGAGAATATCATAAATCAGAAATTTAGCAGAGTCTCTCGTGAAAACCCAGTTGATATGCGAATGAGTTTATTTGTTGAAAGCAGTCCAATTTGGGTTCAAGTAGAACATAAGGTTGACGGAGACTCGGGGACTCCGCCTACCTGATGTGCCCCAAAAAGGACGAAACCGTCCCTGGGCTGCCGACCTTGTGAGTAGTCTCTTTATGGTTGTTTTGTATTCCTTGCCAAAAAAGGTTTGGGGAAACTTCCTTTCAGACGCCAAAAATAACGCAAGTTGGCGAACGTTGCTCGCCGTCATCTTTCATAAACGTGCGATTCAGTTGAGTCTTCTAAATAAAACCACATTGTCGAAGGTCGACATATTCAGCCTGACAATCTTGACGCAAAGCCCCATTAGTACGTTGCGTAAACCAGTCTAATCGCGATAGCATATTCAGACGCTTTTAAACGTTCAGTTGTCCGAAAACAAGAGAAAACTGATTGCAATCGACGTTTGCATCAAAACGAAGTGGTGTTTTCTCGTTGCGGATAGTAGCCTCCGAAAATGCTCGTGTCGGTGTACACCCATCACAAAATTTGAACTGACTATATGAACCGCTTCATACTGCCCTCGATTCCTTATCCCAAATTCTCGTCACAGAACCGGGGCAAAACGCGAGTGTTTTGTTACTGGTCACTTAGTCATTTGTGTCCTTGAAAACCACCTCTTGTTTGATGTCATATGTACAGTACGATTAGGGCGCCTGATTGGGTACAGTTGTCGTGTGATTCAGTCCGCCTTGGCTAGAGTGTTCTAATGGATCACACGTCACCGGATCTGTAACGAATTGGCTTCAAAAGTTTCGGTAGCGAAGTTCCTGAACGTTCAACTGTTGGTGCTCTTCTGTTTTTGTTTTTCGCCACAGTGAGCACGATGTCTGATACGAATTAGTTTCGATTCTCTTTTGCGCTAGAATCATCACAGCAGTAGAACGTTTTTTCTTGCTGGATCGATAATGTTGCCGCAAATAGTGCAAACGTTTTGCATAACCTGGGACAGATAGTTTAGTGGTTAACTGGCAAACTCACTGACCGGAAGATCCACGGTTCAATTCCAACCCTGGCATCGGAGCGAGTTGGCTCAAGTGGTTAGAGCGCGAATTTACTGACCGGAAGGTCCGTGGTTCGAACCCCACCTCTGGCTCTAGACTTCCCCTGTCTGGGCTTGGGGAACCTGGCAGTATCCCAGCCCTCGTGCCTCTTTCAGGTGGCACGGCAACTTGGCACTGGAAGAGTGCTACAGCTGAACGATTCGGACCTTGGCATCTCGACCGCTCCTGTCTAGGCTTTGGCAGCCTGGTAGTATCTCAGCCCTCGTGCTTCCTTCGAGCGGCATGGAAGCGATTCACTGAAAGTGTCCTACAGCTGAAAACCAGCCAGACAATGTTTCTTCCCGAACTGGAGCTGAGCGCCGCCTGGTAGTATCTCAGCCCTCGTGCTTCCGTCGAGCGACATGGAAGCTATTCACCGAAAGGACCCTACAGCTGAAAATCAGCCAGACGGTATTTCTTCCCAAACTGGAACTGAGTGCTAACTCTAACGCTGGAGCAACTGACCCCATTGTTTTAACACAGTCTGTTCCATAATCTCAGACTTAAGAGCATCAGTTCATTGAATGTGGGGAAATTCATTCCAATTTGAATACGGAAACATGATGACATTGTTACCCACTGGAGCTCAGCTGGATTCAGCTGGAACTTAATTCTTGGACTTATATAACTTTTCTTTCTTCAACTAGACATTTTATCGTATATCGCCGATCAGGGATGGAAATGCTGGTGTTGGATATCGGTTCTGACGTGTTGTGTAAACACGACAATCAAAGTCCCCATTATAAAAAACGGAAGACGCAAGGAAAACGCTACCTGTTACCAGACGTTCTAAGATGGACACATTCAAAACACCGGATTGGACCGTGTATGCAATACTAGTCGGAGGAAAGCTCTGGAAAGACTCATATCGTAAGAGGAGTATATTCAAAAGCCTCTAGGACACACTGTAATAGCTAGAAAAAGATTAGACTTCTTTGAGCCCTCACAAGATTCTCTGCAGTTGAACACAATGCGGGAAAGTTGTTGACAGGTTTCACTCAAAAAAGCGCGTGGAGTGTGAAACATTGGAAAGCTGAGTAGAATGCTAATTCTTGTGTTGATCAGCGGTGTTGTTGTTCTCTTGTCACTGCTTGTGGTGAAAGTCCAGGGCTCATATCAGACGTTTCCAAAGTGTTTTGCGCCTTGAGCAGGTTGCAGTTGATCCCGTTTTTACTGCCTCCAAGTAATTGGGCTAGATCTGGTTGAAATACACTCGCGTAGGATCGTTTGAGGAACGTAAGGTAGGCTTGTAGACTGCGATTGGTTGCATCAGCCTGCTGCAGTTGGGCCCGTAGTTCGGCCGAGCGTATTTCCGCCGCGTGTTCCACTTGTTCACGCTCGTTGCGAGCCTCGGCCAATTGTCTGCGTAATTCCTCGACTAGTTGTGTTTCTCTATGATAGGTTGGTGACTTTTCCCTCTCATCTCGACTGTTTTTTCGAGCCTGAAATATAGGGAAATATATGTTAGTGGGTAAGTCTTGTCGAGAAAAGAATTAACTGTTTTTCTGCGGGCGTTTGTTCTTCACACGAACCCATTTCGGCCTCCTGGCGGTTTTCTCTGTGCATCCAACCATCTGGTCTTACTGACGCTGACTCTAGTGCTAACATCAACCCTCGATTTTGTTCCTCTGCTTCGTGTAGTCGACGTTCGACTGGTCTTGGCTTCGTTTACTTCCGTTTTCAACCTCCTGGAAGAACGCACTACAAAAACTGATGATAGCGAACTAGTGATAGGGCTCCCTTTTGGTTGGGCTTTAAATGGATGCCCGGACACCCTCAACTTCCAGCAAGGGAAACCCTAAATGTCCTCATGAACCATTCTCCTCTTCCAACAACATCCATATTTCTGGTTTCCCCGCACTACAGCAACAAGTATACATTACCCGACTGCGCACTGACGATATCTCTGTGATTGGTGTCGAAGTCCTTGCGTATAAATTACCAAGCTCGGTGAACCCGTCAAATCCACGTGATCAACAACCAGGAAATACACTCGAGCATATTGTCACTTGGATGCATAACAAAACAGAATACACAAACTTGTTCGTGATGTTTTCAAGCATGATTTCCAGTCACATGAACCTCAAATAGCACGGTAGTCCCCCGCNCCCCCCAAAAAAAAAAAAGAAACGAGGTTTTTGCCCTTAGATTGACACAGTAACATTATCGCACGTCCATAACTAACGAGGCAGACTAACGTCCGTTTTGGGATACTACTAAATAGGTCGTGGAAACTTGATGATGAGCTTTGCATCAGACTTAAGGTGCAACGTCTACAATCAGCCTTTCACTGTGTACTTTATGGAGTTCCGCGTAATCCAATAACTCCCAAACTCCCCCAGCTCATCACAGCACAATATATGACACAATTACCCCTCTTACTTTATGTGTAATTTACGAACAGTATATTAAGAATTCTTAAAAACATCTTGGTAGTGACGTAAACGGTTTTTCACTTGAGTGACCCCTCCGGTTGGAAGCCGCTCCACTGGAGAATGCATTCTCCTGAAGGCATGACCTCATGTGTGACCAACCCCCTCGAGAATTTCTGTAATTCATTCTCATGTCACCTGAGTAGGAGGATACTGATTATCCGGAATGGAGATAGCTCCCTCTCCGATCTCTTCAGTGAAAAGCTTACAAACACCACTGTATTCACGCATTAATTGTATCAATACCGCCTTCATTGTGCAGCTATCTACACTACCAGACCAAATCAACAGCGAGCGAAATCGTGACGGCTAAAACCACTATAGGGCAAGTACGCGGTTTTGAAAGCTGACGAGCATGACTGATGGCGACGTATTCCTGTCCTATAAAGATCTTGACATCTATTTCAGAGGGTTTTGATAAACAATCGGTGAATTTTTTGCTGGGCGACGTTATGCTTTTGACACAAAAGCTTCGTCAGGCCAAGTGAGTAAGTAAGTAGGTTGATTGGGTTTTAAGGCAGTCATGGAAGGATCGCCTTCCGGTTGGTAGGACTAGGAACTGTGTGTAATAATAAGATGTAACGACCGTACGAAGGTCAAACAGCCAGGGAATGACACACCAGGATCGGTGAGCATAAGCGTTCCCTTAACA